GAAGTGCGTTCCAGTTCCATGACCTGCGGTTCCTCTCAAACCTCTTCAGTGCAGCTGCATAGTGAGGGAAGACACCAACTTCCCTCACTATGGGAAGGGTGTTGGATGGATTTAAGAAAACACATAGCATGCTTTCCTCTGCAGTGTGGCAGCCACAGAAGACCTGAAAATGTTTCCCATTTCAACCCTGCTTCGTTTGCTGGCAGCAGCTTTCAGAGTCTACAGAACATTCCTCAATAGCTCTTCACTGATAACAAATTCCTATCCTATGAGGGGCATTTAGAAAGGACTGGTGACAAAAATTGGTTAGGCGATGGAATTCTACTTGGGGCCCCAAACTAAACGTGGCTAAGAAGCCATTAGCCTGGTTCTTTTAGGTTGATATGAGCAGATTCTGGATGTCATCTAAAGGGAATTCCAATGTTTTTGCAATGGCGGCAACATTAGAATAAGTAGTCTCCAAGGTGGCTACTTTGTGAGACAATACTTATTGAATGTATAGCTTCTGAAACATTTTTAAAGCTCATTACTTAGGTCACAAGAAAAAGGTATAGTTCTCCATTTGAAGAAAATCAATCTGGAGTCTCCAGAAGGAGCATTTTCAGATATTGGGACCCTGAGGTTTCATGTGTACCAACAAGAATATGTAAGATTGAGAGAGAGGTGGGGTGTCTGGGTGGCTCAGTCGGTTCAGCATCTGTCTTCAGCTCAGTTCATGATCCTGGGATCCTGGGTTCGAGCCCCACTTTGGACTCCCTGCTTAGCGGGGAGTCTGCTTCTCCCTCTCCCTCTGCCCCTCCCTCTGCTTGTGCTTTCTCTCTCTCAAATAAATAAATAAATAAATAAAATCTAAAAAAAAAAAAAAAGGGACCCACGGGCTAATAACCTAAGAAATACTGGCACAAAGTCACACACAAAACAACAAAAGAAGAGAGTATCCCCGCAAAAACACACCAACATCTGACCACAACCACACCCAAAACAGGACAAAAAGAAAACAGAAACGGGGAAACGAATATCAGACCAGAAAAAGCCACCAGAACCGCAGAGTATTGGAACGACAACCACTAAGGACAACTCAAAAGCAAAGGGAAGATCCCAAAAAGCAAAAAAAGACGACAAAGATGCAAACGAGAAGAGCCGTTTGGTGAACTGCCCCAAGTCATGCAGCTAGACGACAGCCAAACTGAACTACAATTCTGAAACCTCAGAGTCCATCTTTGACTCTTTCTGTTAGACTTCCTCCCTCAGTGTTTGAGGAAGCAGAAGCATGGGTAGAGATGGGTACGGAATCCAATGCAGAAGTATATGACAGTGGTCCCCTTCTAGAGCCCCTGGGGCCCAGAGATTCACCCAGTAGGAACCCACAAGCCGTTTTTAATGAGTCAGAATACCCCAAGGTAAACATCCATCCAGTTGCCATACCAAGATCGTAAAGCAAACCAAACTGAATGTCTTTGCATTGGGTGGGAACAGTATTGGCTCAGTGTATCAACTATCTGGCACTTGTTAGCGGAGGTTAGCAGTTATGCCTTTGTGCTTTTAAAAACGGAGGTGTCATTTACATGCGGTTCTGGTTTTGATCTATGAAAAATGAGGAAAAGCCGAAATAATTACGTAAGTAAAACAATTTCAAATCATGAGAATTCTAGCAGGGGCGGGGTGGGGGGAAGGGGACTTCGGCCGTGGTAAGGGGGAAGCCATATTAAGGAAATCTGCAAGGTGAGCTGCACCAGGAAATGGCATTCAAGGATGTCACAGAGCCAGGGGGAAAGTGGGTTGACCTCCTGAAAGTGTTTCCCACCCACATCACTATAGCATTGCTGGGGGATTCTCTGAATAATATAGCAACACCTTTAGGATGAAAAGCACATTACCTATTGCTTTGTTCAGCAGAGAGGCCTGCTCCTAGGTCTACTGAGGATTCTGTTATTTCAGCCTTTTCTTACCACACCTGTCCCTCATCCCAACTCAAACGTCTCCGATAATCAAGAACCCTAGAAGTAACAAATAGTGTCAATTTTTTATTTTCTTGTGTTCTATTTTCTTGTGTTTTAGTTTCTTGTGTTCTATTTTACATAAAAAAGAACACAAGGAAAAGAACAAGGGAGGAATGATAAATTTAATTTTTTTACATCTCTAATTAGAACCCATTTCACTTGAACAAATCCATCTTAAAGAGGACACACAAGAGACTACAGTCATTGTAAGGGGTCTATAGTATGGTCTACTGGTACTATTTACTAGTACTGAGCTTCTTCTGAACTAACTCCTTGCAATCAGAGATTCACTGGTTAGAAATCTGCCACTCCTCAGCGATTAGAACAGCAGGTGCCCCTATTTAAAAACCTCTTATAAACCCAGGGTGGAGGCGGGCACATCTTCGTTTCTCAGGTGAAAGGGGCCACCACAGCTGTACGACAAAAGGCAATCACCAGAAAGCACAGAGGGGAGGGGAGGAAGTGTGTGTGTGTGTGTGTGTGGTGTAGGCAAGGGGGTCTCATTTATCACCCTTACTCAGGAGGAGAAGCTCTGTCTTTGCGTCCATCTGAAGACCTCCCCACATGGAGCCTGCAACCACTTCTAGAGCCTGGGCCCAAGAGCGCTGGGTACCTAGCAGGCTTTTTCTGAACTCTTCTGTTCCTGGTAACCCCCAGCACTGCTGTCAATCACCTCTATAAAACTGTGAACCCACACGCTCCCAGGCTTCAGACCAAAAGCAAACTGGACTTGGAAAAATGAGGTCTGTTTTAATATCCTCTTCACTTGGATTAGTTAGTTCTCCCTGTTACTAAATAGTCTGTTTGCAAGTGCCATGCCACAGCTCCTGGAGGGGAGAAAAAAAGTCATCCTGGAGCCAGTGTGGTTTAGAATAGCAGCACACCCCAGGAGGCTGCAGGACAGAGGCTTCAGTGGCTGAAATGAAAGAAGTGTCCAGGAGCAGAGAGACCTTGGGAATTCAGGTTCCAGCTCCCAGGCTAAACCTTGAAGCCCCAAGGCTGGTGCTTGGTTATGGGATGACACCTATTGGGGTTGTTATGGGAGGTGGTATTTTGGTGTTCTAGCTTCAAGTGAGGCAAGGATGCAATCTGAAGAGAAGCCTCCAATGTCAGAAAATGGTTAAAAAGCCAAAAAGACCAATCACCTCCACTCCAAAAGCAGCTTTCCAAATGGCGATTTCTCATGCAGTCAGTATTCAAGTGTGTCAAGTTCTGGAGGCTCGAGGGGTGGGAGGTTCATCCAAATAGCCCGTACCCCAGCTCCATTAGGTGTAGGTTCAGTGAATATAAATATATTTTCACTGTTGTCATCCCAAGCCAGATACAATCACAGCTAAATGTGCTACAACTCATCCGCTAAAGGCATTCAAAAATGTTCTCCGACTGTTACTTTAAACTGTGCTTCCAAAGGTTTTGTCCTAGCAAGAGGTGAGATGATAGGGGAATGTGAAGGATTGCTTAACCTGGACACATGAACTGCCTGCTTCACTCACATCAGGCCAGACATTCATTGTAATGACGCCATCCTTGTGAGTGTCCCCTCCCCATCCTTCCACACCAGCCACTTCCCACCCCTCGGGGAATTGCATCCTTTAGAACATCCTGATTGGGGGTGCCTGGGTGACTCAGTCGTTGGGCGTCTGCCTTCAGCTCAGGTCATGATCCCAGGGTCCTGGGATCCAGCCCCGCATCGGGCTCCCTGCTCAGTGGGAAGCCTGCTTCTCCCTCTCCCACTCCCCCTGCTTGTGTTCCCTCTCTTGCTGTGTCTCTCTCTGTCAAATAAATAAATAAAATCCTTAAAAAAAATAGAATATCCTGATTGGTAGCAACTTAACCTCCGCTGAGGATGGATGCAGTCTGGGGAAGCCACCAAGTCTGGTGAGCAGGGAGGCTGAATCAGGCTTCCATATACCATCTGGGGGGAAGCGCCAAGTTATGACTCTTTAAGGAACGAGGTTGATCTGGTGGTGTAGGTCATTCTGTTCTGAAAGCCATTCCTAAAGGGAAGTGGCAAATGTCTTCAGCAAAGACTTCATCATCAGAAAACATGCACTTCCCAAGGCCAGCATAAATCCTGGTAGGTTTTATTAATGTTTCTGAATCTCTTGTTACTCGTAGTTGTTAGTCATCCGCTATGCGTCCTTTTGGATGGTAGCTATGTCTACTTAGTAGGTTTAACTATTCCTTAGCAAATTTAAAAGCTTTTCTGATTTTACATAAAATATTGGTTGTTCTAGTTTTTTTCCCCTTCCCTGCTCAGAAACATTAGGGGTGCTGTGAAAGGTCAAAGCCACCAGTTGCTCGTGGGTTTGGCAAAAGCCAGTTGAGAGCAAGAGGCAACCACCACCAACAGTTCTGAATGGGGGCAGGTCTGCTTGTCTGGGTCCCATCCCGCAGGTACTGAGTCAGAGGGTAGCGTCGGGACCCCCACCCCCACTCCCAGCCCACCTTTACAATGAAGCAATTAAGCAATTCTGTCGCCCAAGCAGGTGAAGACAAATGGATAAAGGAGAAGTTTTCATCTCCTCTCTAGAAGCTTCTTTGGATCAAACCATAAAGAAGTGGAAGAGGACAAGAACAAGTCAGGGTGATCTTAAACCACATGGGCTGGACGGACCACTGCCCTGCGCTCTGCCTCATGCCCCAGCCCCTGCCAGTCCCGAGGAAAGCTCTAGAAATGGCTCCCTTCATCAGGCAACAACTGTTGGGCCTTAGGAACTTTAGTTAATGGCTGGCCCGTCTCTTAGGAAACCAAAGCCTAGAGGTTACCCGGCAAGGTCGCAAACTAGTCAGTAGCAGGGTTGGGATGAGTGTTCTTTTCACTAGCCACCATCGCATACAGAGGAAGTCCTGGCCAACTGCCATAAACGACTGAAAGGAGAACACGATTTTATGCTGCCTGTGAGCAGATGGGCGAAGGGGCCTCCATGGCTCAAGATTGCCTTGCAAAGGGCAGCATCGAACCTCCCAGTACTGACCTCTGAGGGAGGAGAAGGAAAAGAGGAGTACAGATAAATTTATTAGTTAAATACTGATTTTACAGCCATTTCACCTTAAGACAATGTTAACAGGTTCGTGGGTTAGGGAAGGTATACGAGGGTGGCCTTCATGGAAGAAAGCAATGTAAATGATGATTAAAACAGAATCTTGGTTTAAAAATATTCTCTGCTACAGCCAGTAGGATTTGGGGGTCAGGAGCTGGGCATCTGGGGGGAGGATGTAGGAAGGCCACAGTCAGCTATAGCTCTGCTGCTGATGAGGACCAGGAAGGAGGCATCTCTGTGAGCCCCAGCATCACGGGCAGAAACAGCAACATGGAGAAAAGAAGGCCAATTCCAGAAGAGCACAGAGCTGGAGACTCCCTCAGGGCCCACCCTCGGTGTCTTCTCTTATCGGTCATCATCTTTGCGTCTGCGTTTGGTTTTGTTGTGTTTGTTTGCTTTGAAGTGATGTTGCGACGTCCCTAGTTTTCTGCCTCTGGGACAAGAGACTTCTGCTGGGGAAAGGATGCAGGTGCTGCTGCTCACCACCCCTTGGATGAACTTAGCCTGCTGTCTGCCCAAGAGGCCCAACTCCACAGAACAAGAGCAGCGTCCGCAAGATCCAAGTGCAAGTGAGCCAGAATCCACGGAAAGCCTCTGCCCGCTCCGGGGACGGTGTCCACCAGACACGCTCTCCAGAAGGATCTCAAGTCTTAGGTGAGTGTTTGTCCAACTTGCTTTAGCAACAGAACCTTTTTGTACGTACTCGGGACCCGCCTGTGCCTGATGGGGTGGATGAAGGATTGGGGGACAGTTGTGGGGGAGACTGCTGTGTGGCTAAACTGCCGAGCTCTTGTTCTGCAGAGGGAGAAACCTGTTCAAGCCGAAGGCAGAGCTGAATCACTCAGCAGTGGAAAGGATTTTTATTTTCAGAGGCCTTGTGGGGTGAGGAGTGGAGGTTTGAGCCGTGAACCAGGGAAATGAACTTGGGAGAGGCGAAGTTGCCAAGTTATGATTTTGCCAAAGGCACCTGCAGTGGGTGAAGCGGCCCTCTCCTCCATCTCCCCATGAAGCATTCAGTAACATCGGGGCTAAACTCAATGTTTCTGGGGTCATTATTCGGTACTGAGGAATGCAGGGGTGTGCCAAGCCTGAAGGGGGAGTGCTGGACAGGGGCAGCAGCGGCCTGGAGGGGCTTGTCACATCCACATGCGAGTCACAGGTGCCCTGGTTCAGGCTGGACCAGAGATCCCAGGGCCTTGACCCCTCCACCCACCCTCAGATCCCCAGTGCTGGGAACACCATGGAAAAACCACCATCTTAGGCCAAGGTGGTGGAAGGGTAGGGCAGAAGGACATCTCGTCTCTTGTGCGGGAGGGGTGGGGTGGAAAACAAGAAACAAGTCTCTTACTCCACAGAAGGGACTTAAATGTGCTCATAGTGAAGGGTGGGTTCTTCCAGATCAGAGTCTGGGCTCTTTCCAGTAGCCCACCCTTGAAAAGGCATCCGATAAAATCCAACACCCACTTCCCCTAACCAAATTGTCAATTTCAAGTTTCTTCCCAGTTGTTCTTCTGGAGTCATTCCCCAACAGAGCGGCTTGGCTCCCAGGAGCCCAGAGCCTCATCTCTGCTGTCCTCCAAGTCCCAAGTCCGTGCAGGAATCTGAGGAGGGAAGGAGGTGACATTATGCAGTGATTATGTCCCCATGACTGTCAGCCAAGGCCAGGCTATTCCAAGGGTCCTGCTTGGAGCTGGCCTGCGGTGACTGGCTGACGGAAGATGCGTAGCCTTGCGGGGAGAGCTTCAGGGCCGAGAGGACTGGGTGGATGGAGGGCCCGTGGCCAGACATCGCACTAACTGAGAACGTCTGAAAGCAAAAAGGGCAAGATGAGCTCAATGGAATCACTCCTGAGGGCTCAGGAACAGGGGGTCTGGGCTGGGGAGGGGAGCCCCATGACACAGATGTCCCTAAGCTAGTTCCCACCCCTAGGAAAGGGATGAGGGGAGAGGGCCCGAGGACAAGGGCAGGATAAGACACAAGCAGCCCTTGTCTCTGTTTTTCCTAAGCCCTGTGCTGTGGGACATGAAGGGTCTATGTGATTCATTCGCTTCTTCTGAGCACTGGGACCCAGTAGGTGTGTGGATACTGTGGCTTCTCAGAAGGCTCTGATAAGTTACATGAGACATTTTCTACGGTCTTATCACCACTGGATCTCCATGCCCAGAAGAGGCTCCTGGCTCTCCCGGTTCTATGGGACCAGCCTCTTTACCCTGACAGTAAAAAGCTCTTTAGGATACAGCCTCCCTCAAGCGCATGTGGAGAACAGATCGGAATTAACGGGAAACAGTAACCAAGTGTGGGACTATCCTAATCCCAAATAGGGGAACCAAAGAGGGAAAGAGTCGGGGAGCAGGAATACCATCATATTCGAAAGAGGGAAAGACAGTACTGCCAACCTGTCTTCTGGACACATGTCTGAGGCTGGAGCTGTCGCTGACCTTCATAAATGGCATCCTGCCTGTGACCTCCTCACCAACCCCCTGTGCCCACCCACCCAGCCCTCTATAGTTTCCACACCTTTGCTCATGCCAGGAGGGTCCTCTTCATCCCCCCCTCCTCCTGTTAAAATCTATCCATCCTGGGGCACCTGGGTGGGACACCTCAGTAGGTTAAGTGTCCGCCTTCAGCTCAGGTCATGATCCCAGGGTCCTGGGATCGAGTCCCTCATCGGGCTCCCTGCTCAGCGGGGAGTCTGCTTCTCCCTCTGCCCACCCCCACTTGTGCTCTCTCTTGTGCGCATTCTCTCTCTCTCAAATAAATAAAATCTTAAAAAAAAAAAATCTATCCATCCTTCAAGGTCAAGGTCAAAGCACCTCTCACTTAGGAGACAGACTTGCCTAGAAAGCCCATGCGCCACCTTCTACAGCCCGCTGCGGTCGTACCGCCATCCCTCAATGCACACAGTCCGACTCAGGTTGTGGTTGTGCCCTAATGTGTCCCTCCCCATAACCTGTGTCCGAAGGTCCCAGCATGGAGGAGCTACTCAACATTTGTGTGTCACAGCTGTGTGCCCCAATCATTGTAACTTGATCCGATGTGCTGAAATAGACCCTCGTGCAGTCAAGGCCCTAGCCTCAGGTGGGGCCCCAAGGGCACCAAGCAGCTCCTGCTGCCACCTGCTGGGGCCCGGCTACAGCCCCCGTGTTCCAGGGCTGACCCAGCCACCTGGTCCTTGGCAGTGTACCACTGTCCCCCAGGCGGTCCCATCTCCCCGCCTGGGGGTGTACCTGGGACATGGAGCTGCTGTGCCCGTAGTGGGACGACAGCCCGGGCTCTGTCTTGATGGGGCGCATCTCTTCGCTGCTGCTGGTGGCGGCGTTGCTGGAGTTGCTGGAAGCACTGCTGGTGGGAGGCAGGCTCTCACTGCCCGAGGGACCTGGAATGAGGCAGAGTCAGGCCACCCAGGCCAGGGGCAGGGGCGAATGGACGGCGGTCCTTGGAGACAGCCAGGGTAGGTCTGCGCTAATGGCTTTATTTAGATTTGCTGGGGAGTGAAGCAGGGTCCTTCATCAGCACCGGGCAATGATTCTCAAAATGGGACACATGAAAATACCAGAATTTCAAGGGAACTTTTTCAAGTGATGGGCTCACCACCCCTTATTCCAAATCCTTGAGACCACATGTGTTTCAGGATTCAAAAGTGTTTGGATTTTGATACTGTATGTTAGAGTACTTCCAGTGGAGCCTGAGACAACACCCCATAATTAAATACATTCATGGTTCTGCAGCAAAACATGTGAATCTTCACACATGGGATAAATAAAGACTATAAGTAGCTGGAGTCTGTTCAGATTAGGTTTCGCTGCCAGATCTAGCTCCCTGGATTTGGAATTTCGGACTGAACCAAATGCTTGCTCTCCCTGTCACCACAACATGTAAGGAGATGAAGTTCCCCAGGGGAAGGTGCTGTACTTATAAAACAGTGTGGACACAGGCAGAAAGGCTGAGGACCACTGGTGTGAGACACAGAAAATTCTAATGAGACATACTGCCAGAAGGGGTAAGCTGTTGTGGAATCTGGGAATGGAGAACTTTGGTCGTGTTCTTGGTAGTGGAAAGGGGAAATCTGTCTGTTTCTCATGCCTTAGATTAAAAGATAAACTTTCCATCGGATCAGCTGGTTTATTTTCTCTGCAATGGCAGCATGTCCCCATTGAAACCTTTACTTTGGTAGCAGTATTGAGGAGGGTGTGCTCTTGATGGGAACATGAGTCGTCCTCATTCTTCATCTAGAAACTGAGAAGGCAAAGTGGCACATGGGACAGAATATGGACCTGGAAGTGTAAAAACTTGGGTTTTAATTCCAGGTCTACCCACTCACAGCTGTGTGACTCTAGTTAAGTCACTAACCTCTCTGTGCCTCAGTTTGCTCAGGAGTAAAATGGGGATAATGGGTCACATGGGGGTCTTCAAGGACCAATGAGCTAGTAATGGTAAAGTAGCTTTCTAAAACGCTAAGTACTACATGATGTTAACTATACACTGGCTTACAAATCAAGCTGTTGTGAACAGGACTAACGGGATCCTGTCCTCCTAGATCCCAGTTATCTCAAGGAGAATAGAGAGGAACTGAGCTCTTGAGTGGCTGGCTGCAGCACCGAAGATGGGAGGGATGAGTAGTTCTCCTTCTGGCCCCCAACCGGTCCAGCTGGTCCACTATGGCCTTTGCAACTGGCAGTGATCATGCACCTTAAATTGAGCCTGCTTCAAAAGCTCCCCAAATGTTGCATGGTGATGCTACTTTTCCCTGGGTTATCATTCTGTCCTGAATAGCTGGGGCTGGACAATGCTATCATGCCTCCGTAGCCTGGGCTGGCCCACCTAACTAAGAATACCTGATTTTCACATACTCCAAGGGCCACTGAGTTAGTCCTATAATTTACACACGATTTTTTTTCCTCACCTGCCGGTGTCTTAGATTTATTAAGGTTCTTGGGCTTCCGTTTTCTGGTTTGAATCCCCTCTTTCCGCATTGCAAGAGGCCTTGGGACCTAGAGGGTTACAAATCAATATATATGGTTTTCCACTTGCACATGATCTGCTACAGTATTTAAGGCAACATCTAAGCAATTCCTCCATAAACCTTGGGGCTGGGACTAGGTGAATCAGCCCCTTGCACGCCTGCTGAGAAAGAAATCAAGTATGTATTGAGCTCCTATACTACATGCTGTTTGTTACACTCACCCTGGAGAAATGGAGGCTTAAAGGCACCATTCCTTCCCTCCAGAGCTTCAGTTGACTGGGAAAGACAGACAAGCAGGAAACAACCAGACTCATAAGTGATGTGGGAGAACGGAGAAGAAACACTAAACTGTGTCCCCGGCTGGGGAGGAGGGGAAGTGGCACATGACCATATCAATGAAGGCTTCACTCAGGAGGTGATGCCTAAGTTGTGGGAGGTTGTCAAGTAGACAAGGGGCAGGCATTTCAGGCAGCAGGAATAGTATTTGCAAAAGCCTTTAGTTTATCAGCAAAATCAGGACACTATGAAAGTGAAAAGGGGGTGCTATTAATAATTATGCTAAGAAAATAGGCAGACACGGGGACAGCCCCAGTGAATTGAGACGTCAAGTCACTCTACTTAGAGCAGCTCAGCATTGCACTACGTCTGGTTGGAGCCAACCATGGTCTTTCTGTGGGGGGTGGGGAGCAAAAAGAGATCATGTTGGGGAGACCACGCTGTGGCCAGGTCCTGAGATAAACAGTCCATGGACAACACTTTTACTGCATTGGCTTCTCATAAACAAGCAGTGACTGTCAGGTGCCACGCTCTTGAACCATTCACAGGTGCCTACACAGGGTCTGGGGAGGAGGCTTGCTGGATCACCTTCCTAGTATTTTCAAATAGTGTGCCTTCCCCACGTCTGGTTTCTCTTAGGTCAGGCCAACCAAATCTTTTAGCTCCTGCTCTGTGCTTGTCTCCTGTATGGGACTCATAATGGCCATGCTTGAAATACTGAAAGACAAGTAATTACCACTTCAGAGATGAAACATGGAATGGTTAAGAGAGAGGGGCAGCAGATTAGGTGAACTTGAACCTGCCTTCTTGATCAGTATTTCCACCTTTGGAGGGAAGTGTCCTCTCCTCCCTCCAGCCCCCCACCCCGACCTTGGCCCACTTGAAGCCCATCCTGACCTCAGAAGAATATAGCCCTCATGTTTATCCCCACCAACCTCAGTACTTCTTTAAAAAAATTTGTAGTAAAATACACCTAACATAAAATTTATCATCTTAACCCTTTCCAGTCGTGTTAAGTATATTCGCATTGTTTGCAACCATCACCACCATCTGTCTCCAGAACACTTCTCATCTTGCAAAACTGAAACTCTGTACCCATTAACCACGAACTCCCTATTTCCCCCTCCGCCAGCCCCTGGCAGCCCCCATTCTACTTTCTGTCTCTATGAGTTTGATTAGTCTGGGTACCTCAAGTAAGTAGAATCATATGAGACTTGTCCTTGTATGATTGACTTCTTTCAGTTAGCATAATGACTTCAAGGTTCATCCATCTGGTACGATGCGTCAAAATTTACTTCCTTTTAGGGCGCCTGGGTGGCTCAGTCGGTTAAGCGTCCACCTTCAGCTCAGGTCATGATCCCAGGGTCCTGGGACAGAGCCCCACATCGGGCTCCCTGCTCAGTGGGGAGTCTGCTTCTCCCTCTGCCCCTCCCCCCGGCTTGTGCTCTATCTCTCTTGCTCTCTCTCAAAAATAAATAAATGAAACAACAACAACAAAAAAGAATTTACTTCCTTTTAAAGGCTGAATGGTATTCCATTGCATGGACAGATCACATTTTGCTCACCCAACCGTGGACACTTGGGTTGCTTTCACCTTTAGCTATTGTGAAGAATGCTGCTGTGGACATGAGGACACACATTATCTGTTCAAGGCTCTGATTTCAATTCTTTTTGGATCTATCCCCAGAAGTGGGATTGCGGGGTCATATGCTAATTCTATTTTTTAATTTTTTGAGGATACAATTTTTTTTTAAGATTTTATTTATTTATCTGTCAGAGAGAGAGAGAATGCACAAGCTGGGGGAGCGGCAAGCAGAGGGAGAAGCAGGCTTCCCACTGAGCAGGGAGCCCGATGTGGGACTCGATCCCAGGACCCTGGGATCATGACCTGAGCCGAAGGCAGATGATTAACTGCCTGAGCCACCCAGGTGTCCCGAGGACACAATCTTTTTAATACCTGCATAATATTCCTTTCTCCATTTCTTCTACCATTCCCCTATAGAGGAACAAGAGTTTCTTTAACCATTTCCCTACTGAAGGTTTTTTTTCTCCATTTTCTCTATCATGGTGATTCAAGAAACATCCTTGATACACTTTTCTGCAGAAAGAAGTATGAATGTTCTTAACTATATTTTTGGCTATTTTTTTTCTCACTAACAAGAAAACATGGTACACTTCTCATGATGAGCACCCAAATAATGTACAGAACTGTTGGATCACTGGGGCACCTGGGTGGCACAGTTGATTTAAGTGTCTGACTCTTGGTTTTGGCTCAAGTTGTGATCTCAGGGTTGTGAGATCGAGCCCTGTATTGGGCTCCATGCTCCGCGCCAAGTCTGCTTAAGACTCTCTCTCCCGGGCGCCTGGGTGGCTCAGATGGTTAAGCGTCTGCCTTCGGCTCAGGTCACGATCCCAGGGTCCTGGGATCGAGTCCCGCATCGGGCTCCCTGCTAGGCGGGGAGCCTGCTTCTCTCCCTCTGCCTCTGCCTCTCTCTCTCTCTCTGACTTTCATGAATAAATAAAAAAAAAAATTAAAAAAAAAAAAAGACTCTCTCTCCCTTTCTCTCTGCCCCTCCTCTCCCTCAAAAAAAAAAAAAAAAAAAAAGAATTGTTGAATCACTGTATTGTACATCTGGAACTAAAATAACACTGTTATGTTAGCTACACTGGAATTAAAATCAAAGAACTAATAAAAAATAAAGAAGACATGAAAAGATTCAGGAAGACTAAGGTAGTACTGCTCCTCCCACCCCTCTGCCATCAATCCTGTCCCCACAGGGCAATTGGAGGACCAGCCTGTTGTGTTTCTTACATTTGAAAACATTCTCAAACGTGTATGCACACCTACAGATCTATACACGTATGTACGTGTGTATTCATCCATCCATCCATCTATATCTGTGTGTGTATTTAACACACCCTCACCCCCATAGTATGGGGTCATACTATGTGTACTTCGCAATGTGCTTTTTTGTTACTCCAGGTCAAGATACATGGCTCTAACTTAATATTTTTTAAATTTCTGCACAATATTCCACATCACAGTACTGCCAAAATTTACTCAACCATTCCTTTATGGGACTTTACGATGGTTTCTAGTTTTTGCCACTATGAATACTGCAGCAATAAACAGGTCAAACATCATTACCTACTGATTCTTTTATTGTTTTACAGGCTCGTTTCCCAAAAGCAGAGCTGCTAAATCAAAAGATATGTGTGTTTCTTATCCTTAGTAAATATGGCCAGGGGCGCCTGGGTGGTTCAGTCAGTTGAGTGTCTGCCTTAGGCTCAGGTCATGATCCCAGAGTCCTGGGATCGAGCCCCGCATCAGGGAGCCTGATTCTCCCTCTCCCTCTGCCTGCTACTCCCCCGGCTTGTGCTCTCTCTCTCTCTGTCAAATAAATAAATAAATAAATAAAATCTTTAAAAAAATAAATATGGCCAGGGGCGCCTGGGTGGTTCAGTCAGTTGAGTGTCTGCCTTAGGCTCAGGTCATGATCCCAGGGTCCTGGGATCGAG